GCGCCGCCCGCCGCGTGCGGAGCCGGGGCTCGCGTCCGGAGGACAGCGGAAGGGGGAGAGCGGGCGGGGCTTCCGTCGGAGGCCTTCCGGCGGGCGTCGCCGGAAACACCCCGCGAAGGCGGCCTCGCAGCCCGTGGGCCGGTGAAGGGCGGAGGCGGGCTTGGGTCGTCTTCGACCTGCGGCGGCAGGTGGGGCCAGGCGCGGCGCGACCGAAGTGAATGCGTAAAATGCCAGGTGAAGGAGAATGGAGGGAAACTGCAGCCTTCGCGTGACTGTAGGGGGAGGGCGCGCTCCTGTTTGCAAGAAAGACAGCAAATGAAGTACGAGTGTAGACCTGTAAGCTGCGGAGAGGTTGGGAGCGAAAATGTGCTTTATGGGAGTCTTTTATTTTGATGTCTGCGTCGTGTGATTGTGTTACCTGTTTTTCAACGAAGTGGGTTTTTGGGTGTGTGCGGGGGGAAGCTTCCACTCAGCTGACCCTCCTCCTCCTAATTCCCCTTCCTCGAGGCAGGCACCGTGACGGTTTCTTTGTCCTTGAGGAATTCTTCCATACGTCTGCCCTGCAGACGCAAATGTGCACGTTGTGTGTGCACCCGCCAAATGAATTAGAAGGATCTCAATCAGCTGAGGGGTAATTACTGCTTGGTTTGTGCCAGGCGTTCCTCTGAACTCTTTTTTTTTTTTTTGAGTTCGAGTCTCCCTCTGTCGCCCAGACGGGAGGGCAGGGGCCGCTCCCGGCCCCCGCAGCCTCGACCCGCTGGGCTCCGGCGACCCTTCCGCCTCAGCCCTCCGAGTAGCTGGAACTACAGGCGCGCGCTACCCCGCCCGGCTGATATTTGGTTGATTGTAGAGATGAGGTCTCGCCAAGTTGCCCGGGCGGGTCTGGAACCCGCGGGCTCAGGCCGTCCACTCACCTCAGCCTCCCAAGGTGCGGGCTGACAGGCTGAGCCACCGAGCCCGGCTACACCAGGCCCATTTTTGCAGAGGAAGCTGCTGCTCGCACATCACAGGCTGAAGCCAGTTCAAGACCACCACCCAAGGCAAGTCCGTCTATTGCGGCAATCCTTGGCACCGGAGGGTTCGCAGTATCGTTAATCACTGCTCTTACTTTGGAGGCAAAAGGACCAACTTCACCGGAATTCATTTTGGCGCCCTCCTTACGGTGAGCACCGGCACAGAATATCCCTGGGACTTCACTCCTGATTATGACCGTCCCTACTTTCTTGTCGGATTTTAAAGCATCCACAGCTTTTGATGGCATTTTTATAATAAGATTTTTACTGAGTGAATTTTTGCCATAAGCTCTGTTTATTCCAAGCACCGCAATCCCCCGGTTCTCCTCGTCCAGGTGCCATACGCGCAGCTCGTCCTCCGCCTTTGCCTCAGAGCTGTAGCCCCTCCGGGGGTCGGGACCCCCGGCCGCGGGCGCCCGGCCGGACCCAGATCGCCCGGCCCGCCCACGCGCCGGGCAGCCTCCACGCGGGGCGAGCGGCAGCCAGGTGGGGGCCGCAGGGCGCCCAGGGCCCCCGGTGCCACCGCCGTGTTGTCTGTTCACGGCGTAAAATGTATGTTTCTTAAAGAATCCCATTTGTTCTTCTCATAGAAACCTTTTCTTGCCACTCCATTTCCCTACTAAATTGGGTATATGACATAGCCTCCAACTTTAACCATGCTTTAGGGAAGCGCTCTCAAACCATGTTTTTCCCTCTGCTCTCAAATCACAGCAGTCAGCAACACAGAGGCCTCTGTGACCAAATGTGAGGTTTCCCCCACCACCAGCAGCAGACACCAGCTGGGTGTCTTCAAATTCAATCCTGACACTGTCTTCCTTGAGATACTGTCAGATCCCACGGGCTGAGAGCTCAGTCCCCAAAACTGCCCCCTTATTCCCCCCAGTTGCAAGTTTGGGCCTCCAAGGCATCTGACAGGCTGGCTTCAAGTTGGGGTTCCCCCAGTCCCCTCTCCGGGTTCAGTTGCCAGAGTGTCTCACAGAACTCAGAGAAAGAACTTGCTTATGTTTAGCGGTTTATTACAAAAGGTACAGATGAAGAAATGCAGAGGGTGAGGTATGGGGGAAGGAGCAGGGAGCTTCCGTGCCCTCCCTGGATGCCACCTTCCAGAAACCACGTGCTGCACTGTCCGGAAGTTCTCCAAACCCTGTCTTGGATTTGCTTATGGAGGCTTCATTACATAGGCATGAGTAACAACCGTGTAGAAACGTAAATGCTGAGTCCGTGGGTTCGAGACCTGCCTGGGCAACTTGGCAAGCCCACATCTCTACAATAAATCAAAAAATTAGCTGGGCATGGTGGCACATGCCTGTAGTTCCAGCTACCTGGAAGGCTGAGGTGGAAGGGTCGCCAGAGCCCAGCAGGTCGAGGCTGCAGTGGCCGGGAGTGGCAACTGCACTCCAGTCTGGGCGACAGAGTGAAACTCCAACTCAAAAAAAAAAAAGAAAAGAAAAAAGAAATGTAAATGGACACAAAGCACATGACCTAAACCCAGCAAGACCTGTCCAGGCTTTTCTTGGCCTCTGCAGCATTCCCTTCTCTAGGGCGTGGGATAAAACTCTGGAAATGAGGATCTTTTGACCCCCAAATCAGGCTAGAGTCCTATCTTGGGCAGGTGAAAAGACAGGAGAGAGAGATTCTGTTTCTGGGGGCCTAAAGTGCCCCAGCATTACAACCAAAGACTAGCAAGAGATATGGGAGTTATGAGCCAGAAACCATGGACAAAAACCAGTTCCTATATTGTACAACACCACAGACCCTTCAGCAAGCTAGTAACTTATTTTGTTAGCTCCAGCAGGCATAAAAATAAGCCTTTAATTAGGGTTAATTAGACCCTGTTCATGATGTTTTGAAGTTCTACACCCTTACTGATTTTCTATTAATCTGTCTTTTGCCAGTGATTTGTGGACAACCAAAAATGAATAAAGGGTTTTCCTCCTCAACACTAGTTTCATAAAATGTTCCCCTCTGTTCTGTTTTCTGGAAGAGATTGTGCAGAATTGGTGTTAATTCTTTTAAAATTTGGTAGAATTCACCAGCGAAACCTTGGAGATTTATTTTTAGCATTTTTATTGCAAATTCAATTTCCTTAATAGTTATACTGCTACCAGCCTGGGCAACTTGGCGAGACTTCATCTCTGCAGTAGGTAAAAAAAAAAAAAAAAATTGTTTATACTGCTACACAAATTATTTAATATTCTATGAGTTTTAATAACGTGTGTTTTTGGTTTTGGGGGGTTTTTTTGTTTTTGTTTTTGTTTTGAGTCGGAGTTTCACTCTGTTGCCCAGGCTGGAGTGTAGTGGCACACTCTTGGCCACCACAGCCTCAACCTGCTGGACTCGGGTGATCCTTCCACCTCAGCCTTCCAATTAACTGGAACTACAGGCATGTGCCATCACGCCCGGCTAATTTTTGTTGCTTTACTGTAGAGATAAGATCTCGCCAAGTTGCCCAGGCTGGTCTCGGACCCATGGGCTCAGGCAATCCTCTCACCTTGGCCTCCCAAAGTGCTGGATTATAGACATGAGCCACCGCACCTGGCCTTAAAATAATTTTCAAATGCAAACCCTTTTTTTTTTTTGAGTTGGAGTCCTGGGCTACATGGCAGGATTGACATGCCTAGTCTACAGCATTCAGATTCAGATAGCGAAGGGTTAGCCATGAAAGCTGACCCAAGCCCTGGTGGGCAAGGGAATAGAAATTAGCTCAAACTCTCTGGATAGTGACATGACAAAATGGATGGTCATATTCAGGATTTAAGCTCATATTTACCAGGATCTAAAGTCATATTCAAAAGAAATGACTTTAAATCCTGGTAAAGGCTTACAAAGACTTTCATCAATATGTCATTTATAATAGAGACAACTGGAGACAACCAAAATAGCCTATGATAAGGGCTGGGTTAATACACATGGTATGTCCATTTACTGAATAAAACACTTAAGGTGTTTGCATTTGGCTGAGCACAGTGGCTCATGCCTATAATTCCAGCACTTTGGGAGGCCAAGGCGAGAGGATTCCCTGAGCCCAGGGATGGAGACCAGCCTGGGCAACTTGGCAAGACCTTGTCCCTACAATAACCCAAGAAATTAGCCAGGCATGGTGACACATGCCTGTAGTTCCAGCTACTTAGAAGACTGAGGAAGCATTTATTTTCTTCATGATTCCATGCACAGTTCCATTGTTGAAGTTTACAATCATCTTATTCATGAAGGTGCTTTTTGGCAGCACATACATTTGTGAGCCGCTGTTTTCAATTATGAAGCACACAAAGAGCAAAATTCAAAACAACATTCCTGATGAGCACCTTGAGAACTCCACTAAGAATTATATCCACTTCCATTGAACCAAATAGTGATTCGTCTTACAAAAACAAAGTCAAATTTCCTGCCAGTTTTATGTTGTTCTCATTTTCTAAACTTTATAATAAAAAATGAAAAAATAAAACAAGTCTTATTATGTATAAAAATTAACCATATTATATGACTTACGTGCAGCCCCAAGACAACTCGTTTTTACTCGACGCAGCCCAGGGAAGCCAAAAGGTTGGACACCCCTGCTGCAGACATTGGGGCAGATAAAGGGCAAAAAAGCATACCTGGTTTAGTAGCACAGAAGGCCAGCTCATCGGAGCTGCACTTCCGCAAGGTCTCTTGAAGGACAAGAGGGGGTGTGGACAAGACAGGTTGGAAATGGAGGCCTGCTGTGGGGTCACAGGAGAAGCAGGGAGGGACCAGGTGACAAGGAAGGGAGAGGAGGCGGCCTCGGCTGTGATGAGGATAACTTGGTGCAGACTGCAGGACCCGCAGGATGCTGGACACCCACGTCCTGCTCCCCACACTGAAGGGCAAGAAAGGATCCTTGATTGGGGGAGGGATTGGAAGTGTCAGCTCAGGG